AAATGGGCGAGTTGGTTCAGCGAAACCTAACCCCTAAGCGACATACGGATGTCACCAGATCAGCCCAAGGCGATACAATGGTGGTAACAGTAGGTTGCCTTAACGCTTCTGTGGAAACAACACTTGGGTACCTAAATTTAAATAGAAGGGGTGCTTACACCTAATCATTATGGGATATGAGCTGAGCGCCCCGTATCAGCGCTTTCTCAAGCGCTGATACGCAGATTAATGTAAGAAATTACCAAGTTATGCCACAAATAACTGTGTTTATTGCAGTTTTCTATTTTACTTGACCAATACTGCTGTAAAGAGCACATCAACTCAAACAGTTAGACGAGTAAGTATAGTGACTAAAAGTTTGTGCGACTTTGTTTGATCGAGAGATGAGCTTCTTTGCATAACAACGAAGTTTGTCTAGATAATATCTTTCCCTTATCAATCGATGATGGCCTGTGGACGTTTAGTCTCCGTCTACATACAGATTACATCTTTCAATCTAGACCGTTTTGGTAGCTATGCCGCACCTACTGGTACTCCGTGTATCGGGTGTCTTGTTTTCTCGATGATCAAATGTAATTATACGTCCGAAATATTTACCAATATGGTTCTTTTTACAGCTGTAAAAATACCTCGAATCCGGGAGGTAAAATTTAAAAGTGTGGATACCCTAAATCTAAGGCGTCTGGAAAACAGTTCGTAAGCAATCTCAATTTCTTTATCTCTGATCAGATTTGAAAGATCAAAGTGTTATTTGCAAGCAACCACCCGTTTCAACTTCAAATTAGCCGAATTTGCATTTAGCCCATTATAGCCGTAAGCACGCGCAATCTTTACCTTGTTTGCATTTCACTAATTCATTCAGTGATTTATTTTAGGTTGTGATCGACTTAATCACCGAAAGCAAAGGATCGAACGATTGTAAAAAATTAACGAGACACGCGCTTTCAACAGAACATTCACAAATGTAAGTAGTTTCTTATCTGTTTTGTGTTTAGATGATACGGTTTACCGATGAACAGTGTATGCATTCTCCTTCGAAAGACACGTTTATCTTTTTACATTTTACCTTTTTTTTTCCGCTAGGTTGCATCCTAAACTCTTCGTCGTCCTTCTTCTCGCCTCGTTTTCGAAAGAATTCACTGAAGCTAAAGGGCAATGTGGTCCCTTAAACAGAACCCTTAACCGGCTTGAGCAAATCTGCGGCTACGAGTACACCGCATTATATGACTTTGAACACCATTTCACTAGCGCCTCACGAGCCGTTCCGTCCTTGATAAATCTACTCAAGAACTGTTCTGCGATGGTGAACACCATGATGTGTTCTCTATTCGTACCGCGATGCGAGGAGGATATACCTGGACCATATTTACCCTGTAGAGGTGTTTGCTACGATTATGCGACGAAATGCCAACATGTTATCGAAGCACAAGGACTTCAATGGACAGTGGCCATGTGCGACATATTACCCGAGCGAGATGACCCAAATACCAAACTTGGATATAGAGGAAGATGTTTCACACCGCCTAATTTCAGAGATAGCGGTAAAAGTAAGCAAATTAGCTTAATGGTCTTTTAAAGAGAGCCATCTGTTACTATTAAATCCAAAGAGCGTGGCGCATTTTATTTTCATGATAATACTTCACATTATTGCATCATATTTTTGTGAGTGGGATATTAAGATTATTATTGAAAAAATTAATAGAAAAAAAAAATGTCGTAGCATTTCCTTCTTCAAACGGTGGTCTTAAGTATCATTTTTCTATAATACTTAATGATAAAAATGATGATTTAACAGACTGATATTTTTCGTATAGTCAAACGTGTTGTGTGTACGAATTTTCTTAATTCCCAATACAGCGGAGGCAGTCACTGAACTATAAAACATAGTATTAAAACGAGCTTTTTACTTTTTGTGATACGAATTGCGACTGACTGACGACACTCAGCTTTTAAAGAGTTTTCTTTTTTAATTTTCAAAGGGATTAATTGTCATCGTAACATCAATTGTTATGTTGAAAATTGCATGAGGAATTGTTGAAAAACGACGGCTTTAATTATATGCGGATGTCTATATGTTTATATCATCACAGAATGTCAGTTATTTTGGCGCCAAAATGTCTCGAGAGCTCTTGAAACATACCACTTTAACGCGACGCCCTGTATGTAAATAAAGGCATTCGAGGATTTTTCATCGAGGGCAAATAAATTAAAATCATAGACAAGTTTCTAAGAGAGCACTATAGCGTCCCATCGGGGCCAAAATTCAACATTGCGATTTGACATTGTACTTTTAGTATTCTTCCTTATTTCACGATTGGACATTCAAGTTTTTATTCCTTATGAAATTTTTTCTGATTCAACATTGTCTCTTTTACAATTAAACTTCCAAGTTTCGAGTATTAAACATTGTACTTCTCGTAATTCCACTTTGTAGTTGTGGCAATGCAATATTGTTGTACTTATGGTATTGATATATTCAACATGCAGTACTTCGCGCTAT